CCAGGAGCCAATTTGACTGGAGGGAGATGGTGGATGCCGTAGTTGAGCGAACCCCACTCATCCAGCAACCTGCTGGCTGACCAGAACTGGTGGGGGTCCCATCGCAGGTAGCCAAAGGGGCAAACTTGTGGCTTCCTGAGAGCCTGATCTTAGGAGTTATTGAAAACTACAATGAATGCTTAAATATTAAAAAATGTATTACAGTAAAAGGCACATTGCCCTTGATCCACCTCGAAATGCTCTCCCTTGCTTCAGTACACTTAGCCCATTAATTCTTGCCACTTCCTGAAGCAGCTCTGAAGTCCTCTTTCGTGAGTCTTTAGTTGCACTGTTGTGGCTGCCTCAATGTCCTGACTTGATTCAAAACTTTCACTTTTCATGGGCACTTTGACTTTGGGGAAGAACCAGAAGTCACATGGTGCTAGATCTAGTGAATAAGGTGGCCGAGTGGCTGAGGACACATCATCGTGTTCTTAGGAGCCTGCCTTTCCATCTGATAGCATTCAGCAGTGGCATTCACCTCATAAAGACACAAAAGAGGCCTTCCAGAGCTGCTTCAGAAACTGCCGAGCATGACGGCACCAGTGTGTTTTAAGTTGAGGGAAGTATTTTGAGAATTAATGACAATACGTCTTTTTTTTTTTTTACTGTAATAATGTTTTTAAAAATGGGATCATTCATGTGTGTCCTTCTCTGAAACCAACTCATTTGGAAGAGGAAATGATACCACTTACTCAGGATTTTGAGCATCAGGTGATGCCTGGCCCATGGTAAGCAGCAGTGCAGAGGACCTGTCCTACCTGGCATTGTCTTGGTGCCACGTGACTTCATGTATTACCCAGGGGAGCAATGCTGATTTCACACGAATGCTCTGAGGATCAAGTGCGGGGCTCTTAGCTCAAGCTCTAGCCTCTTAGCAAAAGATGCAGGGAGTTTATAGTATGTCTACTTTGGTACTTAAAACCCAAACCAGGTCCAACTCAGAATCTTCAGGCCAGGCTATCTGGCTGGTAGGTGGAAGGAATGCATGGCAGTCCGTGGATCTTGGCTCAGAAAGATAGATAGTAATAGTCTCCCAAGAAATACTGGCAGACATGATGAAGACCTGTGCTCCGAGCACCAACATCTCTGACTGCCCAGGACCCTAAGAGGGGCTGAGGTGTACCTCAGTGGCAGAGCATGTGCTTGCCCAGCACAAGGCTCTGGGTTCAATCACTTGCACTGGAAAAAAGGAACTAGGAGAGATTTTTCCTATAATGGGTTAGGGGCTATAGGATCTGGCCCTATCTGAATTAATATGGTTTTAAAATTATTAACCATTTGTGCCGGGCATGGTGGTGCACACCTGTAATTCCAGCACTCGGAAGGCTGAGGCAGGAGGATCACTGTGAGTTCAAGACCATCCTGGACTACATAGTGAGTTCCAGGTCAGTCTCAATGACATAGAGAGACCCTGTCTCAAAAAACAAAACAAACAAACAAAAAAGAATTAACGATTTGAATTAAGACAGGAACTATGTCTTTATTTATTTATTGGAGTTGGAAATTAACCAAAACAGGGGGACAAAAAGAAAAGCAAGATTTCAGCAGGATGAAAACATGGGCAAAACTACTGTGCTATTCAGGAGGTAAAAACGTAAAAATCTGTACTTGTGTTAAATAAAGAACACAGCTGGAAAGCACGGGATAGAGGAAACCAGCATAACATCTATACATATGAAAAAGAACACTACATTTAAAAAAATAATCAATGTGAATCACTGGTGCAGTGTGGCTGGCAAAATAGCTCAGGCAATCTTGGGCTGCATTAATAAAAGAATCGTACATAGAAAAAGAGAAGGAAAGATTTCATTGTGCTCTAACATTTATTCAGATGGGAGGCTTTCTGGAGAGAATATAACCAGAATAACGAAGGGTCTGGAAGGTCATGCAGTCTGAGAAACAAGTGAATAAAATGGAGACAGAAGATGAAAAAAGTAGATCTAGCTAGCTTGAGAAATAGGAGATTTAGAAGGCACTTCCTATCTTTAAGTGAAAGAAAAACTCTCTTGTGGGAAAGGTGTTAGACGAATTCTGCATAGGACCACAGGACCAAATACTAAAATGAGAATTTAAAAGTGGACTTGTAAGGTGTGGTGGCGCACACCTGAATCCCAGCACTCAGGAGGCTGAGGCAGGAGGATTAACATGAATTTGAGGCCAGCCTAGATTACATAGTGAGTTCAAGGCCAGACTGAACTACATAACAAAACACTGTCTCAAAAGGATTATTTAAAAAAAAGTGGGCTTTAAAAGGGGATGCTTTTTAGTTCAGTGTGTAGAGGGGACTCAGTCACAAGATGGCTGGGGCATCTCCAGGGACTGTGACCCTTAATTAAAATAAGTGAGGGCCAGGATTTAGCTCAGTAGTGCGGCTGGCCGCCTGTCTTGTAAGCGTAAGAACCTGAGTTGGATCCCTAGCATCAAAAAAAAAAAAAAAAAAAAAAAAAAAAAAAAAAAAAAAAAAAAAAAAAAGAAAGAAAGAAAAAGAAAAGAAAAGAAAAAGTGAGCTGGGTATGGTGGCTCATGTCTGTAATCTCAGAACTCAGGAGGCAGAAGCAGAAGGACTGCTGTGAGTTCGAGGCCAGCCTGAGCTACATAATGAGTTCAGGGCCAGCCTAAACTACAAAGTGAGACCCTGTCTCAAAAAAAAAAAAAAAAAAAAAAAAAAAAAAGGGCCAGGGATTTAGCC